GATGGACTTAGAAGGTTAATCAGCTGAATTTAAGACTACTCTTTATGAGCCAGGAAAGAGAAGAGTTAGGGGCACAGTGTGGGTGGCAGAAGGGGCCACTAACCAAGGCATGTGAGTGAACTCAACATGGAGAAGACCTAGAAAGGTTTTCCCCAGAGCCTCCAGAGGACGCCAGCCCTGCTCACACCTTGACCTTAGCATTGGGACACTTACTTTGGACTTTTCAGTCTGTGCAAGAAGGAACTGAATTATTTTGCATTTGCTGAGATTAAAAAGCACAGTGATATGACTAAAAAGAACAAAGTGCACTATTTGCCACTTGACTTTAAACGAACACAATCGTTTGTCTAGTGACTTTTAAGTTCATAGTGTTTCAAACCACCAAGTTTACTATAATTACCCACAGCAGCTACAGAAACTAACACAGCAAAGCATGCCTCTCACGGCCCCACCAGACACCTGATATGTCTACTATATTCATCCCTGTGTGGCAGCCTGAGGGGCCATGGTGGCATCACAGGGGAGGAAGTGTCTGGGGCTCCACAATGCTCCTTGCTGGAGGTTCAGCAGGAGAAAAAGAAACTTTGATTTCTTCAGCTCATTTACTGTACCTAAAACAACTGTTTTTTAAAAAGTGAATATTCCCAATGTAAACAAAAAGATGTCTGATTTTGGATGGGAGAAGGCCATCAACCCAAGTCTGGACACAGAGCACAGTGGCTGAAATGAATAGGGCACACACAGAAGGTTCCACAAGGGGAAGAGAGCCAGAGGTGTCTAAGGGACAGAGGAAGAAATTATAACTGCATTAGAAATGCTAGGTCAACCCTGGTGGAAACAACTAAAAGAAACCAGTAAGTAAATCATTGTCTGCCCTATGGCATGCTAGGAATGGAAGCAGGGGGTGCTTGCTCCCTTCAGCCTGTGGTCACTGGCTGGGTTTACTGGCTGGACATTGGAACCTGCTTACCACATATATGAGAATGCACACTGCAATAAAAGGCGAATTCTCTTTCCATTTTAGCAACAGAGCAGTCTGGAGAATCCAAAAACTTCCTGCAAGGAAATACTTCAGGATCAGTTATGGTCCCCAGGCTTTAGTACATCCTGAATCTGTGTCTGAGAGATTAATGTAATGGAGGTAGATGGTGTTGCTGAAAATGGCAACTCGACCTGAACAGTCACATTTATATTTATTTTCATTTGACTTCATCCTGTGGCAGATGTGAGGACAACTTTGGATGGGATCTCCTTATCAGATTTATGATACCTTACTTGGGAGATCTGGCTCCCCTGGGTAACGGGTGCATGTGGTGGGGGCTATAGGCCTGACACATGTATTTGTCAAGCAAATTTTTATCCAGTTCACAGGGGGACTGTTGGGGATGAGTAATCATGTGTAGCCTGGGCAGCTGGGAAGACCATGGTTGCTGTTAGAACTAACGAGGGCGGCTTCTTAATACGTTGCTGCATTAGTAATGTCAGTGAAACGGACGGGCTCACCATTTCTCTGTACATATTTTCTGGGGAGACGCAACACTAGTGTGGGCTACAGTTAGAGCTGACTGGCTTGCTTTCAGGGAGGTGTGTGCAGAACACAATAAAGTAGCCCCTATCACAGGAAGGTCTCCGGCACGTCTGGCATCCTTCTCTTTGCAAACCACCTCAGTAGTCTCAGTGGCATCTGTTGAGTGATGAATACTATCAAGCTGCTGAGATCCTTCAGGCCAACTCCCCATCCCCCATAGCCAGCTCTTAGATGTTAGCAAGTCACTCCAAATAGCTCTGCCAATGACTTACAGGGCACTGTCCACAGTATCTTGATGGTAGGCCACCATAGTGAAAGTACCTAGCACTTAACATACTTGCTGGTAAGTTGTTACATTGTCCAGACTCTAGCTACTGTTTTTATCATTCCGAGTCTTCACCAGTGCTAAAGAGGATGACAGAGAAGCAGCAGGGAATGTTATCAGGGAGTGAGGTGGTGGGTGGGAACAGGCCCTGGGAGAACTTTCCTGGAGCCATTTACCAAGTGTCTCCTTCCAGGTATGGTGACAGCCCCTGAAGGTAAAGATGTCTTGAAAGCTTAGAAGCCAGAAGTGGGAGAGAGGAGGAGATAGGGACAATGAGGGGCTAGGAAGGCCCATAAAGAGAAAACACAAGAGAGGACAGCAAAAGAGTTGTGGTAAGAGAATTTTATTATTTCCAATTAAAGATCTAAGCACAAGGCTGTTATATGATGTCAGCACTTAATGAAAGTGTTCCAGAAGTTCTTAAGGCAGTCATTTTGACTTATGAACTGTGTTCTTGGCAACCCTTTATTATTCTTTAATAGTGGGTGGCCCTTTCTTCTTTTTATAAATGTTTATTCTGTAGCGCTGCTACTCTCTAGCACTGCCAGACCTTACAAAGGCACACTGCCTTTCTGTCACAGAAAGGCTGAATCCAGGAACTTGTGCAGATAGGGAAAGACTTGCACAGGAGAGGCGTGTCTGGGAACCACAACCTACCTCCAGAATCCTCCTACCCACTCCTCCAGCTGGCCTTGGGATATCAGGCATGTGACTCGGACAGCTACATTACTGATAGACTTTTGGGTCAGGTGAGCTAAAGGGCTTGCCCTAAGGTCACCTGAGCTTATCTGTTTGATTAACTAGAGGACCAAACAGGCAAAGGAGCAAGAGCGACAGTCCCAAGGCTGGGTCCAACTAATGGGTAGCCAGAGGACGGCCATCTGGCCCAGGCTCTCAGGTCAGGTGAGGAAACCCCGAGTCCCAGAGAAGCACAGTGGATGCCTCAAAACTCTAACTTGGAGTCCAAGTGCACTGCTACACAGGCGCAGACAATAGGCCCAACAAGGTATTTCATTTCCAATTAAAAAGTCTGTGTGCAAACCAAAGAAAGCCAGAATACTCTGGTTTCCCCCACGTGTGCGTCTTCTTCCTCTGTCCCTTAGATGCATATGGACAGTCTCCATGTGCAACTTAATTAATGCCATTTTGACTCATATCTTTCCAACAGGCGCACGTTAAGGAACTCCTTATTCAGGGAGACTCAATAGTGTCAGGCCCATGGCCTCTGCCTGTAACCCTGGGGTGTAGGGCATGCAGGGCAGACCCACAGGCAGTCGGACTCAAACTACTCCTTTAGGAATTAAAGGTCAGGGTTTCCCTTAACTGAAATATTTTTGTTGTTGTTGTCTTGTTTTGTCTCTTTTTCTAATAGAACTCTTTCCAGACAGTCTGATTGTGCTTTCCCCTCCCCCACCCACCCAACTTCACACTTTTTAAAAAACCAAAAATTAAGAAACTGTCTCAAACATACACACAAAACGAGAAACCAAAATACACAAGCAAAAGATTAATAAGACAAAAAAAAAAAATTGCCCAAACAAAGCAACACGAGACAAGAAATCTACAAAAATACCGTTCAGTTCATTTTGCGTTGGCTGTAGTGACTGTGCATGGGACTGCTCCTGAAGTGTGGTTTAATATACCCAGTGAGATCACTGGAGAAGACTAAGTTTTCCTTTGCAGGCGGGTACCAGTTTCCATAGATCTGGTTGGGGGTTGGTGTTATGATAAAGCCCGAGGGGGACCTTGGTGGATTCCATGGCAGGAATGATGACTGACAGAGGTGGAGGGACAAACATGTCAGACAGACAGAGCTTAAGTGAGAAGTTTTATTAGAAAGGGAAGGGGGTGGGTGGATAGAAAAGAGGTAAAGAGACACAGAGACAGAGAGAGGACAGATGATGAGAGGGAGACAGGAAAAGTCCTGTCTGCCCCAGGGGAACAGCAGGAACCAGAGCATAAGTGGAAAAGAGTGTGTAAGTGGGCAGGGGTCTGTCTTTTAAAGGGGTCATTTGCACCCGCATGCAAACTACAGTAGTCATGGAACCCTGGGCTGATCAGGGCTCTGCCCAAGTCCTTACAGTTGGAGCCAGTGTCTTAAAGAAATCTTGCAAGGGTGGCTTTGTTTTGCTGGAAGCGAGGATTGAACCCAGAGCCTTACATACTCCATGATGGCATCTCACACAAGGGCTCCCATAGCTGTTTCCACTGCAGCAGGATCCTGTTCTAACTCCTAAACCCAGTTATGTTAGCTGAGAGGCACTGTCACAGTGAATCCGCTTTGGAAAAGGGCCTCTCCTCTCCCCTGTCACTCCTATCCTGCAGTGGGGGCCAGCGACTGCAGTGTGACTTCGTACTACAGAAAGAAGGCACAGATGTGTCCCCTGGCGGGCACGTTCCTCTTCTTCTAAGGTGTGTGTGTGTGTGCTGTTGGAAGCCCTGGTTTATAGCGCAGCAATGTGCAGCAAGACCTGGAAGAGCTTTAAGGAGATGCAGCTGCTCGGACCCGCGGCCTTGGAGCTGGCTCTCAGCCAGCCTTCCACAGGCATCCTTGCCACCTAACCCCACAAGCGTGGCCTCCAGGGAGGAAAAACAGGAACCGAGTGGAGGCGGCGCCCAAGGCACACAGAGGTTGCTTGCCATTTCCTAAAGGTGGCTCTTTCCTGAACTTAACTGCCTTGGCTTCGAAGTTCAGAGTTTGCCTTTAAAAATATCATTTTAACCACTTTCAAGACAAAGCTGGATGAGAAAAGAAAATGTGAAGAAAGGAAGTCATGCTGGGTGATAAACGATCAGAATTATTTCCGTTCCTTTGGTCTGTCAGTGTGAAATGCTGTCAGCCCACGATTAATCACCACGACATAAGACTGTCTTTTAATTGTTGAGGACTCCCCCCCCCAGACAACTGTACAATCTCAGGAGAAACTGCCTGCGTTTGAGTTTTGACGTTTGTACAACTGGGCTTAGCGCGGGCACTCGAAGCGACTCCCCAGCTGGCTATGTGTCCCGCTCACCTGTGACCCGCGGGGGTCCCGCTAACCTGCGCGCGTGCGCATCGCACCGGCACGGGCACACGGGGACTCGGGGACCCCGATCCTGCCCCGCCCCCGCCCGGCGCCCCGAGACAAAGTGCAAACCAGTCAGTACCGGCGGGCGGGTGTCCGGCTTTGGTCTCCAGCTTCCCTTCTGGAGGCGAAGACATGGCGGGAGCCGCTGACTTTCCGAGGGGCGACGGCGACGGCGGGGTGGGCGGCAGTGCGCGCGCGCGCGGGTCCCAGGGGAGGAAGGCGTAGGGCGCGCGCGGCTCGGGGACGCGCAGTGCCGACTTGGCCCGGGGGCGTGGCTCCGGGCGGCTGCGTGGCACGGCCACGCCCACCCGCGCTGGGCGAGCCGCCCCGCCCTGCCCCGCCCTGCCGCGTGGAGCATGCGCAGCGGCCAGCGCCACGTCTATCTCCTGGCCGTTGGCGGGGTAGCGTGACGAGGCGCGTGTCCGTGAAGGCGCGCGGCTCCGCGGTCGGTAGGGAGCTGGACTAGCAGTGCGCGTCCTCGGCCGAGATGGCACTGAGGGAAGCGTCGCCCGCCGGTGGTTCGAAACCTCAGCGCTGGGTTTACATTCGGACACAAAGGCCCAGCTTCATCTCTCAACTATCAACTCATCACTCATGGCTCCTTGGCCCACTCTGCTGCTCGACTGACTCATCCGGTGCCTCTCCAGAACTTGCAGCTCGACAAGATCAGCAATGGCACATCTCCGATCTTTAGGAAAAAGGCGCGCCACCATCCCCTTTGGGCTGCATATATACCTTTGAAGAAGAGGTTGGGTGTTACACCCATCTACTCATTCCTCACCCTACAACGTCTTGACTAGTCCCCTCCCTGACCCCACGCTGCCAAACCCAAAGGTCGCTTGTCCAGTGTCCTTGATCTCTTAGCACTGGGGACAGCTGCGGATCCTCTTTAGATTTAGGGGATGCCATTCTCGGCTGACTTTCCTGCAGAATTGTAAATATTTGCATCTCTACCCTTTCCTTGGGTGCTCTCTCCTATAATATTGTTCTTGACTGGGTAATTCATAAAAGATGTGTTTATTTAGCTCACTGTCCTTAAGAGGCAGGTAGATTGCAGGCTTGTATAGAAAACAAATTCCTCGTAGAGGAGGCTCCCAAGTTTGAAGCCCTTACAGACATCAAATGCACCCTGTAACCCATGCAGCCCACCAGGCCCTTTCGTGACGGGACCTGGCAAACCATCAGCTAGCTGATTGCTCTCAGTTCCTTGGCTCACACTGGCTGTTCCAATGCTTCCTTAGACGGACAGGCCAATTCTTCCCGTCTGAGTATCTACCATTTCCATTGCAGAGTACCATCTCCACCAGACACTCTCAAGATGGACTCCTTCCTGCAACACAGCCAACTTGTAAGGTCAGCTGACCTGAGAGAAGACGCTTATTCCATTGTTCGGATTGCATGTTTGAAAGTACTTATAAAGTATAATACACCAGAGAATATGTTTTTATGTCTGCAATGGAATTTTTTTTTTTTAATCACTGAGTATAAAACACAGGAATTGCCCCCTGGTGTATTAAAATAACTTGGTGTACCAGTCAGTTCAACTGCTTCCTTATTCCAGGCTAGCCTCTACTCTCTTCCTGTGCTGCTGTTGTATGGACAAGAACTTTTATATTCTTACTCACCACACAGAATTCTTTCCCATTGTTGATTTGGCTTCACAAAGGGAGGGTAGCTTTCATTCTCAACTTAGTTTGATAGCATTAAAGATATTTCTTTACTATGCCATAGAAGTTATAAATAAAATGAAGTATAGTTGATTTGACATCCATGCATGGGGCGGGGTCCCACACAAATTCCAAATGCCAAAGAAAAATGAGATTGTGGCATATATCACACACATGTACACACATACTCACACAGGCACAATCACACAGGCACACTCTCACAGGCACACCCACATGCACACACATACTCACACAGGCACACTCACATGCACACACATACACAGACACAATCACACACATGCAAACACCTACTCAGGCACACAAGTGCACACATACTCACACAGGCACATTCAAACACATGCACACACATACACAGGCACACACATACACAGGTACATTCACACAGGCACACTCACACACATGCACACAATACTCTCACAGGCACACCCACATGCACACACATACTCACACAGGCACACTCAAACATGCACACACATACACAGACAAAATCACACACATGCACACATACAGACACAATCACACATGCACACACATACTCAGGCACACTCACACACATGCACACACATACACAGGCACACACACACATGCAAACACATACTCAGGCACACACACATGCACACACATACTCACACAGGCACACTCACACACAGGCATGCACACATAAGAGCATGTGTGGGCACAGAGGCAATCAATCCTTGAGGGTTTCCCTTGGGTTTCAACTTGTCCTCAGTCACAGGGTGACTGAGAAATCATCCAGGGGATTTTCAGAAGCGCTTCAATAGCTATTAACAAATGTGGAGTTAGTTTCAGCCCCATATCAACTTATAGTTTAGTAAAAGACTTTGAAGAAAGAAATGACCAACCTGAACCATGGAAAGTATTCCTCTTCTCTTTATTTGGGAGTAAGGAGATAGAAACTATAAAGAAAATGAGAGTCCCGGCACTGTGAATTTGGATTCCCTGAAGAACCCCAAGCATGTTGTCGATTATTTATGAAAAGATGTGTTTAATGGAGAACTAAGGAGAAGGGTATGGACAAATGGCATTGCCAACTTGTCCTCTGAGCCATGATTTGACCTTGTGGAAGTCTCTGGCTATGGTCCTGTATTGGAGGCAATAATACTCATCTTAAGGAGTCAAATAGTTATTCAGTATTATGGTTTAGCATTTATCTTCTTATATAAAATTTCTTACAAGGGTATATAAATTGCTGTAAGTATAAAAATAAACATGACAAAGACATTGAGGATAAAGAGGCTTTCAGCCAGACAAAATCATCTCAGGGGAGCCCAGAATCTAAAATTGAATAATAAAATATTTTTGTTACTTTGTTTTTAAAGAATATATCCAGGAGACAGTGCTACTAAGACATAACTTTGCCCTTAAAAATACATAAAACCTTTCCGGAAGGGTCTTTGGCTGTGAGACCATCCATCTTAGCGTGGATGTGAGACACCGGGAGCATGTTTAGGCCACCATGATCTTTTCAAGCCCCCAGGCTCTGCTGGGACTTTTCCTATGTGGGCAGACTAGAAAGAAGAGTCAGTGAAGGAGGTCTGTAGACACATTTGAACCCATTTAGACCACACATTGATTTATGAGTTCCAGAAAATGCCGCCTTCCCTAGGGCTCAGTGTCCTAGTCTTAACACAGAGATTGTAGTGTATCCTCTAGAATGTCTCTGGGAATGCTGTGTAAGCCTTAAGGATTGAACAGAAGTCTACCCAAAGCATGTTGCTTGTTTAGAGATTTTAGAGGGAAAAAATGACAGGGTAGAATGTGATAAACCCACTAGAATAGTAACAGGTTCCCACTGCTTTGTGTTGGTTCAGCGAAAGGTGTTCAAGGCCAAGAGCATGAGCCTTTCCGATTGGATGGAATGGGGGGGGGTGTTGTTCATACAGAGGAAGCACAGGGCTCTGGGAGACGAGGACCAGGCTCTCTCCTCACCTAATATGAGAATGCAGTGAGCAGACACAGGAGGTCCCGCCCTAAGTCCAGACAGCTGCATCATCTCTGTACCTGCATTTATTACCTCCACATCTTTCATCACGTAGCTACAAGAAGGCTCCACTGTAGCCTCGAGATAGAGTGGGAAACAGTAATATTTTAGTCCATTATCAGCATGATTTCCTAGTCATTTTGTAGGAGCCTAGCCTCTTCTGACCGCCACCAGGTTTCCCCAGGACGGTTTGGACTGTTTGTGAACCATTGCTGTAGGTCAGCCCTGTGACACTGCCTGTAGATGCAGAATAAAGATGAGTCTGGGACTAAGGCGACGGCAGAGCAGCTAAGCACTTGGCGCTCACACATGAGGACTCAAGTCTGAACCACCCCAAAACATATGTAAATGCCTGGTGGGTATTTCTGCCCACTACATTTCCAGTCTCAAAAACCAGAGATGGGATCCCAGGGCAAGCTACCTAGCAAGACTAGCTACTTGGGTTCCCTCTGGGCTTTTGACCAAGAGATTCTGCTTTAAGGAACACTGTAGAAAAGCAACGAAGGATGATTATACACACACACACACACACACACACACACACACACACACACACACACGAACATGCACACCTACACACATGCAAAAGCATCCATACTCATACATTCCCATCACAGGTACACAAGAACAGAAAAAGAGAAAAGGCTTAAGAACTGGAGGTAGCAGTACCCTAGCCAGTGAACAGGTGAAGTCTAAGGCTTTTCCTTCTTCTTCAGCCTCGCAGTTGCTGGGCAGCCCCTTTGATAGAAGGCTGTATGGGCTCTGCTGCAGCCTCAGATGTTTCTGGGCCCTGCTATGTAGGTCTGTGTAGTAGGTTGTCAGTCTCAGAGCTCTGAGTGTGTTGGTGTACCCCCTTCCCTGTCTCAGGGCTCCCCTGAGAGGAAGAGAGAAAGAGGCTGCCGCTACTTTGTTCCCTTCAAAGCTGTGTGCTGTGCCCTTTCTCAACTTGCCACATGGATGTTGGGACTGCTTTCAGGAAACAGGGGCATATTCTGAGCACATTTTTTGGAAGAAAACTACAAAAAAAGGCCCTTTGTTAAATCTAAACAGCAGAATGATATCCGAAGAGAAAAGCAAGCCTGCACTTGGTCAGTGACCCACCAGCCCATGGAGCTGACCACTTCCTTTTAAAAAGCCTACCTCAGGTATTTCCTGTTAGTAAAGAAAAAACAGACTAAGACAATATTAAGTTTAAGTCTCATAATAGTTGCTAAGAGCCTGCATTAACAAGCTTATCTCTGGATGTGGTTCTGGAAGATATTTCCTGTGGCTTTCTTCATCTCTTCCTGATTCTCTATCTCCTGAGGTTAGAGGTGGCAAAGCAATATTCCTAACAAATTTAAAGCCCATTTTCCTGCTGAAATTACTTGGGTTTCTTTCAAAACCATTTTTCTTCTCTGCTGGTGATTTCCCATCGTTGATTAATTATTCTGCTCCCACCAGAGTGTCTGTGTGACTTCGCAGGCTGGGGAAGGCTGTAAAAAATTACTTTTGTCACATTCCGGTCCTCAGTGTCTACAACAAAGCCTGTTTTGTGCTTGTTCAATACTAGAAAAAGTTCAAGCTTGGG